TCACACCTGTAATCCCAACACTTAAGGAGGCTGGAGTGAAAGGATCGCTTGAGGCTCAGGAGTTCAAGACAAGCCTAGGGAACATGGCTGTATTTACAAGCCTCATCTCTACAAAAAATAAAACATTAGTCGAGCATGGTGCAGCATGCCTGTAGTCCCAGCTACTCAGGAAGCTGAGGTGGGAGGATCACTTGAGCAGAGGTGAGGAGGAGGCCAAGGCTGCAGCGAGCCATGATCACCCCACTGCACTCCAGCCTGGGCAACAGAGCAAGACCCTGCCTCAAAAAAGAAAGAAAGAAATTAAATATATATCTGTCATAGGATCCCAAAATTCTGATAGGTGTTTTCCCAGAAGAAATAAAAACATGATTAAAGAAAACCTCAGAGGGCAGGAGGAAAAGAGCCTGGACTAGAATAGTGACTATGGCAAAAAATCCTGAAATCCAGGTATTAAAAAGGTAAAGACTGGCAAAGATGTTTTATTCTTCTCCATTTCCTTGTCACCTAAAAACATTTCTTTCTTTCTTTTTTTTTTTTTTTTTTTGAGACAGAGCCTTACGCTGTTGCCCAAGCTGAAGTGTAACGGCACAATCTTGGCTCACAAAAGCATCTCCTACTATACGTGGAGGGCTGAAGAATGGGTCAGGTGGACTCTGGATATACAGTACAAGAGGGAGACTTGACAGGATTCAGTGATGGGTGAGATTCTGTCTGTGAAGGTCAAGAATGGCTTGATGAACAAGACTGGAACAAGTTTCTTTTCTTTTTTGAGACAAAGTCTCACTCCAATACCCAGGCTGGAGTGCAGTGGCGCAATCTCGGCTCACTGCAACCTCCGCCTCCCGGGTTCAAGAGATTCTCCTGCCTCAGCCTCCCGAGTGGCTGAGACTACAGGCACCCACCACTATGCTCAGCTAATTTTTTTTTTTTTTTTTTTTTTTTTGTATTTTTAGTAGAGACGGAGTTTCGTCATGTTAGCCAGGAAGGTCTCCATCTTCTGAACTCACGATCCGCCCACCTTGGCCTCCCAAAAGCGCTTGGGATTACAGGCGTGAGCCATGGAGCTCAGCCTCGTTTATTTTCATTTATGTACACAGTGTACACAGTGCTATAATGTTCATGATACTTTAAAAAGAATTAGCAAAAGTAGAAAAAAATGGTTAGGGCACAGTGGCTTACGCCTGTAATCTCAGCACTCTGGGAGGCTGAGGCAGGCAGATCACCTGAGGTCAGGATTTCAAGACCAACCTGGCTAACATGGTGAAACCTCATCTCTACTAAAGATACAAAAATTAGCTGGGCATGCTGATGGGTGCCTATAATCCCAGCTACTCAGGAGACTGAGGGAGGCGAACATTGCAGTGAGACGAGATCGCACCACTGCACTCCAGCCTGAACCAGAGAGACTCCGTCTCACTAAAAAAAAAAAAAAAAAAAAAAGTAGAAAAAATTTGTTAATTGAAAAGAAAGAAATCTCAAAAGGTTCTTACCTCTAAAGCCTTATCCAGCTCACCACAGTCTGAAGTACATTCTTTTTCCTTTTTGCAGACAGAGGCTTGCTCTGTTGCCCAGGCTGGAGTGCAGTGGTACAGTCTCAGCTCACTGCAACCTCTGCCTCCCAGGTTCAAGTGATTCTAGTGCCTCAGCCTCCCGAGTAGCTGGAACTACAGGAGTGCATGACCACACCAAGCTAATTTTTTTGTATTTTTAGAAGAGACCGGGTTTTGCCATATTGGCCAGGCTGGTCTCGAACTCCTGACCACAGGTGTTCTGCTCACCTCAGCCTCCCAAAGTGCTGGGATTACATGCATGAGCCACCACGCCCAGCATGAAGTATGTCTTAAAATCTGTGGGAACATAGGATTAAGTCTATCACAATATGATCATTTCTCCCCATTCCCACACAGCCATTAGAGAACAGCGGGGCTGTGCACTAACCACTGCATCCCCAACACTCAGCACGGTCTCCACCCAGCACATAGTTTGAAGAGCATTTTAGCCTTATTTTAGTTTTTCTCCACATCACAACTGCCAGTTTAGTATTAGAAACGAGTGCCTTGGGTGAAGAAATGTTAAAAGCTGAAGAGATGGAAAAATATCCACTATGCTTTCTGACCCTTAACCATTGCTGAGACAGTCAATTCACATTATTCAAGGTAGTTATGTCCTAGTAAAGCCACCATGAACACTGAACTAGCAAATACTGAACCACTGCTCCTAGGGGAAATACAGGGATACTCAACAGGTCAATACACAACCTTGTTTTATATGTGCTTCTGTTTAAAGATATTTTATTTAATACATATTGCTGATGCATTAACACTGAACTCAAGCCAACAACAAAAGCGATGCCTGAACAAAGCTTATCTAAAAGCTTATCTTTTCTCTATAAGATACATCACAGCCTTCAACTTGCGAATGCTAGACAGCACTTCTACCCTTGGAGGCCATTTTAAACAGCAAAATCACCAAAAGCACAAAAATGCCAAAAGAAAAAAAAAAAAAAGAAATGGCACTACATATACAGCCAAAAGGACACTTATGAACAGTTTTAGAGCTGAAACAGGAAGGCAGAGTATCACCTTTTTTTTTTTTTTTTTTTTGAGACAGAGTCTTGCTCCGTAACTGAGACTGGAGTGCAGTGGCACAATCTCGGCTCACTGCAACCTCTGCCCCCTGGGTTCAAGCAATTCTCCTGCCTCAACCTCCCAAGTAGCTGGAACTATAGGAGCCCACCAGCATGCCTGGCTATTTTTGTATTTTTAGTAGAGACAGGGTTTCACCATATTATCCAGGCTGGTCTTGAACTCCTGACCTCATGATCCACCCGCCTTGACCTCCCAAAGTGCTGGGATTACAGGCATGAGCCACTGCACCCAGCCAGAGTGTCACCTTATTTGACTGCAACTGGGAAAGCACAGTGGGCAACTCAAAATTTATCACAACTAGTATCTCCCACAGCTAACTCAGTTAAATTTTTCATACACTCATCTCCAACTACACCCAGTTTATATTACAAGATAACATGTTTTGGTATACATTACACAACAGCAACCTCTGATGATTTCTGCCTCCCTGAGACCTGCACACAAACACGGCTCTGCTTGTTACCAGTATAATTAATGGTCTGGTAAGTGTTGAACTGAGAATAGAAGACTGTAAAAAACAAACTCCAGCCTAGGGGCAGTGGCTCACACCTGTATTCCCAGCACTTTGGGAGGCCAAGGTGGGCTCATCACCTGAGGTCAGGAGTTCCAAGACCAGACTGGCCAACACGGTGAAACCCCGTCTCTACTATAAATACAAAAAATTAGCCGGGCATACTGGTAGGCACCTATAATCCCAGCTACTCAGGAAGCTGAGATAGGAGAATCACTTGAACCTGAGAGGCAGAGATTACAGTGAGACAAGATCATGCCATTGCACTCCAGCCTGGGTAACAAGAGTGAAACTCCTTATCAAAAAAAAAAAAAAAAAAAAACCCTCCCCTATAGGATACAAGACCTGAGGCCACTGAATTACCTGATCCAACCCGAGTTAAATGCTAGTTTTCAAAACCTTAAGTTTTAAATGTCTGCCTCAGACTGAGAGTTCTGTGGAGAAATAGATCTAAAAAGCCTAGAAAGCCATAAATAGCCATCAAGTAATGGAGAAACAAAATGCAGTATATCCACACAATAAATAATTCAGTTGTTAAAAAAATGAAGTTGATACATGCTACATACAACACACATGAGCTTTGAAATATTAAGCAAAATAGGCCGGGCGTGGTGGCTCATTCCTGTAATCCAAGCACTTTGGAGGCCAAGGCGGGTGGATTACCTGAGGTCGGGAGTTCAAGACCAACCTGACCAACATGGTGAAATCCCGCCTTTAAAAAAAAAGAAAGAAAGAAATATTAAGTGAAATAAACTAAATACAAAAGAACAAATGTTATGATACAGTATCGAGAATGGGCAAATTCCTACTCGTATATTAATGCTGCTGGTAGTAGGAGGAAATAATGGGCGTCTGCTGATGGGTTTCTTTTGGGGATAAAAATGTTCTGGAATTAGGTAAATGGTGGTGGTTGCACAACCTTGTGAATATACTAAAAAAACCACTGAACTGCACACTTTAAAAGGATGAGTTTAGACTGGGCGTGGTAGCTGACACGTGTAAACTCAGCACTTTGGAAGGGCGAGGCCGAAGGACACAAGTGGGACCAGCCTAGCCAACATGGTGTAAAATACAAAAGACAGCTGGGCGTGGTGGCGCGGGCCTGTAATCCCCGCTACTTGGGAGGCTGAAGCAAAAGAATCGCTTGAACCCGGGAGCCGAAGGTTGCAGTAGGCCGAGATGGCGCCACTATATGTCAGCCTGGGCAACAGAAGGAGACTCTGCTTCCATTTAAAAAAAAAAAAAAAAAAAAAAAAAAAAAAAAGGGGGCGGGTGGAGGGAGTTTAATTTTACGTGAATTGTATCTCAATTTTTTTTTTTTTTTTTTTTTTTTTTTTTTTTTTTTTTTTTTTTTTTTTTTTTTTGAGATGGAGTCTCGCTCTGTCGCCCAGGCTGGAGTGCAGTGGCACGATCTCGGCTCACTGTAACCCGACTCCGGGGTTCAGGCGATTCTCTTGCCTCTGCCTCCCCAGTAGCGGGGATCACAGGTGCTCACCACCACGTCTGCCTAACTTCTGGATTTTTAAGGGAGACTGGGTTTCCCTATGTTGGCCAAGCTGACCTAGAACTCCTGGTTGCAAGCTATCCTCCCGCCTCGGCCTCTCACTAGGATTACAGTTGTGAGCCACCGCGCCCAGCCTGTAATTCCTTTTAGATCATTTATTCCCAGTGTTCCCCGCTCCCTGGAACTCAGCTCCGCTTAGCTTTTACCACAAACTGCAGACTCCCCACGCCTGTCTACAAGCAGCATCTCCAGGGAGGCGCCACGACCGACAGCCGTGTCCGCACCGCCGTAGGGTCCCGGCACGTTGGTTCAAGTTTCCTGTACCCCGCCTTCCTACCCATCTCTCGGGAAGCCCCGATACGGAGTCCCACACTGCACTAGAACAGGCCTCTGGACTCAGCATCTCTACGCTGAGACCTCAGGGATCAGCTCCACCGCAGGCCCAGGTGCTCGACTAGGAAGACAAGTCGTCCCACGCTCCACACCCACAGCCGAACCACCCGGGGGGAAGTCGCTCTCCTCCCCACTTACGCGCCTCGGGCAGCGCGCGGTGCACGCAGGGAGCTCGATATAGGCTATGGACAATAGGAAGAGAACTTAAGTGGAGGCCACGCGGAGGAGAATGGGAAGGGCGTGCGAGGATCCCTGGGAAGAAGGTCCGAACCCAAGCCCAGTGCCGGAGGGGAAGATAAAAGAGAACGGAAAAGGAAACGTAAATCAAGTCCGAGGGGACACGAGCCGCAAAGCTGCCTGCAGCAGCCGTAAAGTAAGCTGGAGTCGCGGTGCTGGCGACTCCGCGCTGAGCCGCTCGCCCCGCCCCTTCCCTGCGCACCCTAAGCCTCCCACTTCCCTCCAGCGTCCCTCGGTCTGCGGGGGCCGAATCTCTGCTGCCCCCTGGTGGGCGCGGCGGCTTCAGAGGCTCGTTCGGCTCGCGTGTTGCACACTTCACGAGCCCCGTGCCCATTAGGATGCGGGGCCCACCCACGCACAGTTGGAAAAATCTCAGGAAGAATGGTTGTCAGAGCCCTTCCCAGGTTCCGCCCGGGCCGAGGCAGCGTGGACGTGGTGGTTCTCCAGGCCCCTCAGCACCGCCGCGCACATCCAGTCGTCACCGGATGGCGCCTTAGGTTAGCGACGACTGCAGGGAAATGAAGTGCTGGGACACGAGATCCTCTCTAGATTGTCCCCTGGGGCCGGGCGCGGTGGCTCAAGCCTGTAATCCCAGCACTTTGGGAGGCCGAGGCGGGCGGATCACGAGGTCAACAGATCGAGACCATCCTGGCCAATATGGTGAAATCCCGTCTCTACTAAAAATACAAAAATTAGCTGGTCATGGTGGCGCGTGCCTGTAGTCCCAGCTACTTGGGAGGCTGAGGCAGGAGAATCGCTTGAATCCGGGAGGCAGAGATTGCAGTGAGCTCTGCAGAGATCGTGCCACCGCACTCCAGCCTGGCTACAAAACGAGACTCCGTCTCAAAAAAAAAAAAAAAAAATTAGCCAAGTGTGGTGGTATGCGCCTGTAGTCCCAGCTGCTCTGGAGGCTGAGGCACGAGAATTGCTTGAACCCGAGAGGCAGAGGTTGCAGTGATCCAAGATGGCGCCACTGCACTCCAGCCTGGGTGACAGAGCATGGCTCCATCTGGCGGGCAGCGGGGTGGGGGTTGGAAATATGTATATCCCACCTCAGAATGGAAAAGGACCTTCTGTGTATAAAAGTTGAGCAATAAATCATAAAGTAAATGGATAAATGTAAGTACCTACATAAAACTTTTTAAACTTGTTTAAAAAAATTTTTTTTGAGATAGGGTCTCACTCTGTTGTCCAAGCTGCAATGCAGTGGCACTATCGTAACTCACTGCAACTTTGAACTTTTGGGCTCAAGGGATCCTCTTGCCTCAGCCTCCTAAGTAGCTGGAACTACAGGCACATGCTACCGTGCCCAGCTAATTTTTTAAATTTTTTTGTGGAGACAGAGTCATGCTTTGTCAACCAGACTAACAAAACTTTAAACAAGAAAAAAGATAAATATTACCATATATGGTAAGAGAGTTCATAAAAGTTGACTTCAAAGAAAAATAGATGAAATGGGTGAATATTTCACAAAAGAATTACAATAAATATGAAAAAGGTTTAACTTCAATAAAAGTAAAAAATACATATATTAAAACAAATATATCATTATTTCACCCATTAAATTAGGAAATTGAAATATTTTACACAAATATTACATGAGCACATTCTTAATGAATTTTGAATGTGTGTGCTTTAGTGTGTTTTAGCTTCGATTGTTGCACTGGGGAAGTCCAATGCCATTCTAATTCCTGATGCTTTTTATGAAACCTGATACTTTGTATGGGAAGAGAATATAATTATACTTTTTTTAGTTTTCATTCTAGATATTTACGTTTAAGATATTTCCTCTACCTCTTATGATCTAGAACTTCTCACTGTAGCTATTCCACCTGGAGGTATTCATCCTCTCTACTTTGGACTGATGGTCTTCTGGCCTAACAAATTCTACCTTCCCAAGATTTGTACTCCTTCTCATCCCGGGAATTTCATTTACCTTTCTTCTGTGTTGGATCCTGTTTCCTAAATCCTGCACCTTCCTCTTTCTTGGTTTCCTTTCAGATTTTGATGGAGACCTTATTCTGTAACTTTCTGAGAAAGGGTGAGCAATAATTTTTCTTTCTTTCTTTTTTTTTTTTTTTTTTTTTTTGGTTAGAATCTGTATCTCTAAATTAACTTTACTTTTTCATTTTATTAATGTGTTGTTGAATCTGATTTGCTGATTTTTTTTTGAAAATTTTTGTATCTCTCTTCATGAGGGATATTGTATCCTTGTCTGGTTTGGGTATTGGGCTAATGTTGGCCTCATAGAATGAGTTTGGAAGTATTCTCTCCTCTTCAATTTTTTGAAATAAATAGTTTGAATAGACTTGGTATTAATTCTTCTTTAAATGTTTAGTAGAATTCAGCAGTGAATCCATCAAGTCCAGGACTTTTCTTTGATAGGAGACTTTTTATCACAGCTTCCCTCCTGTCACTTGTTATTGATCTGTTCCGGTATTCTTTTTCTTTTTTCAGATGACCAAGCAACAGGGTATTCAGGTTTTCTATTTCTTTATGGTTTGATTTTGGTGGATTGTATATGTCCAGGAATTTATCCATTTCTTCCAGGCTTTCCAATTTCTTGGCACATAGTTGTTCATAGTAGTCTGTAATGATCTTTTGCATTCTCTGATATCAGTGTAATTTTTTTTGTCTCTGATTTTATTTGGGTTTTCTCTCTCTTTTTCTTCTTCTTTTTTTTTTTCCTTTTTTTAGTAATAGTAACCTAGCTTTTTTTCTTCTTGTAGAGATTTGTCAATTTTATCTTTTTTGAAAAAACAGCTTTTTGTTTTATTGACCTTTTGTATTGTTTAATTTAGTGGTTTTTTAAAAAATTTTTCTTTCTTTTTTTTTTTTTTTCTAAAGCTGATTAAATATCTCAGGATTTTTTTTTTTTATTTATTTTTGAGATGGAGTCTCTTGTCGCCCAAGCTGGAGTGCAGTGGCATCATCTCAGCTCACTGCAACCTCTACCTTCTGGGTTCAAGGAATTCTCCTGCTCAGCCTACCGAATAGCTGGGATTACAGGTGCCCACCACCACGCCCAGCTAACTTTTGGTATTTTTAGTAGAGATGGGGTTTCACCACTTTGGCCAAACTGGTTTCAAACTCCTGACCTCAAGTGATGTGCCTACCTCAGCCTCTCAAAGTGCTGAGATTAGAGGCGTGAACCATCGCACCCAGCTTTCTGCACTGATCTTAATTTTTTTTTTTTTTTTTTCTGAGACAGGGTCTATCGCTCAGTCTAGAGTGCAGTGGTACAATCTCAGCTCACTGCAGCCTCTGCCTCTCGGATTCAAGTCATTCTCCCACCTCAGCCTCCTGAGTAGCTGAAATTACAAGTGCTCACTACCATATCCTAGCTAATTTTTGTATTTTTAGTAGAGACTGGGTTTCAGCATATTGGTCAGGCTGGTCTTGAACTCTCGACCTCAGGTGACCCACCCACCTCGGCCTCCCAAAGTGCTGGGATTACAGCCGTGAGCCACCACGCCTGGCCACTATGCTGATCTTTATTATTTCTTTCCTCCTAATTTTGGGTTTGGCTTTTTGTTGCTTTTCTAGTTCCTTGAGGAATATTGTTCGATTTTTAAATTTTTTTCTTTTTTTTATTTTTCAGGTAAACTGGTCATTTATTAGCAGTGGTACTGTTCGGCATAACAGGTTTCCAGTACGTAGGCATGGAGTCGAATGGAGGTGACAGAGCCAGGCTCAGGTGCAGGACAGCATCTCTCACTTCTTCCACTCATTCTTGTCATAGTCCCACTTGGCGGTGAAACCCTGGATGGTTTCACCTTCATGTCTAGCATCCTCTTGGTCTGCATGGCCACCCACTCTTTGTCAAAGGTGGGGCCATACACATAGAGCTTCTCCCAGATGATAATGATAATGAGTGCCATGAAGCCGATGAAGAACATGGCAGCACCCACAACCGTCTTCCACTCGTTCATGCCCCTTTTCATCCAGCAAAGCTCTCCTTGAACGGAATGAGTTACAGCTCGACTTTTTTATCCATGGAGCGGCTGCTTCAGGAGACCTTCTCCTTCTTCAAGGCCTTCCGGCTGGCAGACAAGTGCTTGATATGGGCCCATCCAGCAAGGGATAGTCACACCAGTCCACATAAGCTGGGAGCAAATAGTCTTCGCTCTTCACAACACTTCCGTGTGCTCGTAACACACAGGTGGAAATTGCTCATTTGCCAACGAGGCTAAATATGCGGGTAGCCAACATTCTGCTGCTACTGCCCGCCATGACTGCCCGCTACCAGATTTTTTTATTTGAAAAGGTGCTGAAAGGCTGGACGCGGTAGTGCTGTAATCCCAGCACTTTGGGAGGCCAAAGTGGGTGGATCACCTGAGGTCAGGAGTTTGAGGCAAGCCTGGCCAACATGGTGAAACCCCCATCTCTACTAAAAATAGAAAAAATTTATCCAGGTGTGATGGTGGGCATCTGTAATCCCAGCAACTAAGGAGGCTGAGGCAGGAGAATCGCTTCAACCCAGAAGGCACAGGTTGCGGGGAGCCGAGATCGCACCGTTGTACTCCAGCCCAGCACTCCAGCCTGGGCGACAGAGTGAGATTCCTAGTCAAAAAAAAAAGGTGCTGAAAAAGCATTGCATAAAATTCAACATCTCCTTAAGATAAAAACAACTTGGGTATGGAAGGAACATACCTCAACATGACAAAGGTCATATATGACAAACTCAGGGCTAATATTATACTGAACAGGGAAATACTGAAAGTCTTTCCACTAAGATTTGTCTTTTCCTTTTTCTTTCTTTTTTTTTTTTTTTTTTCCTGAGATGGAGTCTCGCTCTTGCCACCCGGGCTGGAGAGCAATGGTGCAATCTTGACTCACTGCAACCTCTGCTTCCCAGGTTTAAGTAATTCTCCTGCCTCAGCCTCCCAGGTTTCTGGGATTATAGGTGCCTGCCACCATGCCCAGCTAATTTTTTGTGTATATTTTTAGTAGAGATGGGGTTTCACCGTGTTGGCCAGGCTGGTCTCAAATTCCTGACTGCAGGTGATCCACCTGCCCTGACCTCCCAAAGCGGTGGGATTACAGGTGTGAACCACCGTGCCTGGCCAACTCAGAACCACTGCTTCTGAGATGAATAGGACAAGTATGCCTAATTTTACTATTCTTATTT